TTTTATTTTACTTTAGTGGACCAACAAAGGACCTTAGGATTGGCACCATCTGGCAGCCAGAAAGGAAAACGAACACGGCTAACTATAGAAGCTGAAACATTAGCCCTGTGCCCCTGTTCATCGCAATCAATTCGATCATATTTAATTATTTTTTTCAGTCTGAACAGGGCTATTGTCTGTTAACCCCCTAATCTAGCATTTTATGAAGCGCGTACTGTTCAAAAATCCAGGGTGATCACCCTGGATGCTCAGATCGACACGTGACCGCCAATTTTTTTCGCGTAACACATTCATTTTTATTTCACAGATCAAAAACTGTAAAGCAAGCCAACCGTCACTCTGGTGGAAGATAAAATGGTTCTAGATCAGATCGTTCAGACCGGGTGTTTCTTTTGGTTCTTTTTTTATGTTAACAACAATAACATTATTATTTTTTTCTTATAGGGACATTTTTTGAATATTCTTCATATGTATGATTTAAAATTATGTGCCAATATTATATGTTGTGTGGAATGTGGTTACTTTATAATGATGGATTAGTCGTATTAATTTAGATGATAGAAGTTTAAGTGACGGAAGAGTTTTATGCGCTGGAAGACTGATATATTATACATATTTTTTATTAGTTTATATAAAAAATATAATATTTGATTGAATCATATTACAAATGATACTGTAACAAGGCCAAATTTTTATACTTAGTTAATAAAATTCTAATTTTGAATTCAGAAATTAAGCCATTTGGATTTACATTTTTTTAACAACAAAAAGATAAGTTAAAAGTACAGTTATGAAGGTATAAATCTATCAATTAGTTATTAAGAATCAGAAGAAATGGTATTATTAACTAATTAAGTTATGTATAAATTAGAATTTCACTTTAATTAATTAAATATTTAGGAGGTTTATTTTTGAGTTTACAATGAAACAATTAATGATATCTTTCTTTTATATGTTGTATTGTTAGGAATATATTAGTAAAATTGCTGAGAACTACAATTGTCAAACTTGTTAAAGTGCTATAATGGCACAATTACTCTGCCATTGCAAATACAGTATATGCAAGATTTATCAGATAGTTTGCAAAGAAAAAAGGTACTTAATTTTTCAAAGTATAGTTAGTTAAAATTGTAAATTTATTGTTTCAAAAATGAGATTTATTTAATTTATTTTAGCAATTTAATATATAATATTTATATGTAATAATCAAAAAAAATAGTAAATACTATATTTACTCCAATAACATAAAAATTATACTATAAAATTGAAAAAACAATGTAAAACAAGTTAATTTTATTAAAAAAATCTATTTTTTTTACAAATATCTAAGTAACATTAATAAATAAAGATTACATATTTGTTCTATTACTTAGTCTTAAATCTACTTTATTTATTACTAAAGTGTTAAAATTAATATTATTAATATTATAAAATCTAAAAAAAATATAAAACAGCTTTGATAATAATATTCCATACTTAACTTTTCAAAATATTTATTGTTTAATAGGTTTTTAAATCATTATTTTAAATTATAGAAAACTGATTTATTTAAAAAAATATTGATATGTTTAACAATAAAGTTAAGTATATTTAAAAGATCAGCATCTTTGAAATTAGAGTTAATTGGAAGTTTTTTTTTTTTTGATAAAAGATTCTGTAACCTTTACAGAAATGATATTTTCATTTTTAGTAAAAATTTTATATAATTTGTTTTTCACAAATGTATAAAAATATTTGACAATTGCAGTTTAACAGTTGCTTGAAAGTAAAAACTCTTGTTTTACTGATAGAGGTGAGATACTTTTATTATAATTATTATTATTAGTAATAGTAAGTGTATATAGTATTTGTATTTTTCAAATATTATAGTCAACTGAACTATTTGAATTGTTTAAATAATAATATTACATTTTTTAAAATTCTTATTTTACTGATGGGTAAAAGCAAGATGCTTTTATTATAATTATAAGTTATTATTAGTAATAGCAATTAATTTGAATTGCTTAAATTGTTTAGATGATAATGGCTTATTTTTTTTAAATTAATTAATTATTTTTAATTTTTTATATAAGCTGATAACTTTATTTTGTCTCTTTTTATAACTTCATTTAGTGATGTATATATATCAATTTTTTGGAAACTCTTAACAAACAATTGATGTGTAATTTATTTATATATAGTTGAATCAAAAGTATTTTTAATATTTCTCTTAATAATATCAGATTTTTGTAATTATAAAAAAATTTTTATAATGTAGAAGTAAAAAAAAATCTTGTTAATAATTTAATTTTAAGGTAATGTAAAGATAAAGAAATTAGTTAATAAATTTGTAACTTATTGGTAAGATAATATTAACAGTTTAAAATTATTTAAAAAGAGAAAAAAACTTATAATGAAAATTAAGTAAAAGGTTAAGCCTATTTATTACAAAAGTTTATAATTTTATTAATAAAATAAATATAAAACATGTCAAGAATCAGATAGGTATTAAATCAGGTTAATTTGGATTTTTGTAAGTAGCTTATTATAATGAAATGTATAATATGGATTTTGAATTTTTTGTCAAAATTTTAACTTTCGCTATAAATATTTTTTTAAATTAAATTTCAATTAAGTATAATTTTAATTAGACTAACCAAAAATTGATAATATATAAATTTTATGTAATATTGTAAAAATAATTGTATTTAATAATTTTTTTGCTAATTAGCAAAATTAGCTTCATTATTATTAATAAAAATATTTGTTTATAAAGTACTATATTCATTTAAAAATAAGCAACAACTTTTGCATATAATGCAGGATAAGATTTAGTAATGCAGGCCAAAAAATGACATAATTCCGCCCATATTGCTTATTTTTGGGGGTTGTTTATTTTCTAATGTATATGGTAAATATAATAAAATTTAAAGTTTTGTGTAAATTGGATATTGTTTATTATAATAATTAAGGTTGCTGTAGAAACTAGGAGGTTTTGGCAAGTTGGCAAAATGCTGAAATGGTGAAACTTTGCTGAAACTATATAAAAGTCTTATTAAAAAGTTGGCGAAACTCTGGAAAAAAGCGAAACCTGACAAAACTTATTATAAATGCTAAAACTGCTGAAACTTTGCCAAAACTATAATAAAACTATAGTAAAATCTTGGAGAAACTAATCGTAGAATTTTGGAGAGGTTTAGGCAGGCAACCTTAATAATAATATATCTGAGTAATCACTCATATAATGGTACAGTTATTAGGGATTCCTTAATGTACAGTGGGGGTGTACGATATTAATGTACGAACTGGCCGGAGTTAACGTTAACGCTATCACGTGCAAGTGCATAACTCCTAAACTCAGGCCAGTTTGTACGTTAATATTGTACACCTCTACTGTACGTTAAGGACGCCCAGTTATTAGATGCAGATTCACTTTCCAAACTACTAGCATACTAGGAGATAATAATTGTAGCCCTGGTCTGAATTCTTACTATATTTTGCAAAATATAAGCAACCCCCTTTTTTGCACTTAATGCCGGCCAAGATCCCATAATTCCGGCCCAAATCGCCATAATTCTGGTCGAAGGCGCTTATTTCTGGGGTGCTTAATAACCGCAAAATATGGTATATAAAAAGATAAATTAATAAAAAATTAGGTTTGTTTTTTTACTGTCTAAATACTTGTATAAAAAAAAAGAATTATGTGATTCTTTAATTGTACAGATAATTAACACTCAAATATTACTATCTTGCAAAAATGCACTTAAAAGAATCTAACTTATCACATTTTCAAAGAATTACGTTATTAGCTGTTGATTTATTTTCAAGATTACGACACAAAATTTTTCACCTCACGTGACTTATTAATTTGAATTTCGAAAGTTTTTCAAGGAAAAAACTAGGTTATAAGATTAGTCATTTTTAGAATTATATTACTGACCAACTAATATCGCTCATATCCGGAAATTCAACGACTATCATTTTATCGATTTCATGTATCGATTTCATGTATATCGACAATATTTATTATGATCATCAAGTATTTGTTACATAATTAAATTAAATCAGTTATTTTATTCATCTGAGATGGCTGAAGCATCTCTGCTTATAGGTAGATATTATACAAAATATCCAACTATAGTTGCATTCAATAATATTTAAAACCTAATATGACAAGATCGACGTGATAATGCATAAAAATTCCGGTAACACACTTGGATAACCAGATTGATATTACCAGATATTTTTTGTTTGGTTTGTACGTGTGGCCGAAAAAATTAGTTGGCTTTTGTTAAAAGTAACTGTAAAACATCTTTCTCTTAAAGTTATTGAGTTTATCTCTAAATAAGGATAAATTAAAAGTTAGAAAACCGGACTAATTAATGATGAATAATTAATAAGGAAAATTGTATACGTAAATAATAAATAATTGAAAGTTAACACATGAATTTTCACCAAACGGGTTTGGCATCTTGGCGGTAAAGTCCATTATCTTTATATCCGGGATTCCGGATTGCTATATATAGTATAATTGAGGAATTCTAGATTAAAAACATAGAAAATTATATTGGTTGCTAGAACATCTTTTTTTTAAAAAAATTCTTTTATTCTTTTTCAATATCACGCCTTAAATAACAAACACTTATGATAATAATTTCACAGATTCTAATTTTATGCCCATATTAAAAATTATTTAAGGCGTTTTTTTACGTCGCTATGCATCAATGGAAAAAAAAAATTCATTTTAAATTTAATTAAAAAGTAACATAACAATAAATAAATATTCGTTATAGAATTTGTTCGTGATACCGTAATTGTCGTGATATGATGCGATATAAATTGTAATGATATCTAAAGAAATAAAAAAACGGACGGGTGAAACGGAGTACGATCGATACAAATTTATTCATCTTAGCACATATTATATACAGTATATGAATTCTTAGATCTTTAAAAGCTTTTTATTCGTTGTATTGTATTAATTTGCAAAACGATTAAATGAACCCTTGGACTGGACCCGTTAAAGTTACAGTTAATATTTGCGTGACATCTGGTCGATCTGTCTTTATTTTCAAAATATTTTTTTTCACTTGTGTAAATATTAAACTTTGTTAAATATAAAATGACATAAATTGTATAAATTTTTTATTTACTAACTAATTTTAAATATCACAAATTTCAAAAGATTTTTTTCCGTAAACACGATAAGTATGAACATAACTTTGATGATCATTAAATTCTTTTTCCATCTCATTTAATAAAATATCAAATTGCTCAATTGTGATATTCATAAATGGCGCTAAAAATAATTTATATGTATTAAATGCACTCATAAAATTTGATAACATCTATAATAAAAAAAAATGTTAGTATATATAATAATTATATATCATAAAGAAAGTTTTAAAACTTACTATTTCACCAGTTTGACCGCACCATTTTCCTATTGGAGTGAATTTTTCTTCATATTGAATATTTGTGATACTACCGTTATCTTCTAACATCTTTACACTTTTTTTTATATTTAATACAAAAATACTTTTCGATTCATGAAATTCTTTTACTGTATAATTAATTAAAATATGATAATTAAATTAATTTAAAATTAAAAAAAAAAAAAAATTTTTTTTTTAAAGAAATTTATAAATAAAACTTACATGCATCCATTAATTTCTTTGTAGCTTTTCCGCTATTTTTCATCGAATTACCATAATTCATTACTTCAATATATCCACCAATTTTAGTAACACGAGTAATTTCATTAATCATTTTTGTTAAATCCTTTAAAGTAAACGATAAAGATAAAAATCTTTTATATACGAAATCAAATGTGTTAGGAGGCCAAGGTAAACCTTCTAAAATATTATGTTGTAAAAATATTACATTTAAAGGGGTTTTTTCCGATGAAGGGTACATTCGAGAAATATCAATTCCGATAAAAGAAGATTGAGGATATTTTTGTGCCATATCAAGAACCCAAGTTCCAGCACAGCAACCAATATCTAATACGCTTGCATTTCTTTCCGATAATTTTTCTGAAATAGGAGAAGAAAAATTTCCTTTCCAAATATGACGCAATAAATAGTGTTGTAAATTTAATCTGTTTGATTCTTCTGAATCATTTGGTACGTAATAATTTACTGTACTTTCTTCATTATGAAATCTACGTCCGTTTATGTATCGAAACTTTTCCAAGAATGATAAATCATCATCTTGTTCATAACTGTTTTTGCGAGCCGGTGATGTAGATGGCGATGTTGACATTTTTGACTTTTTAAAATTATAAAAAAAAGAAAAAAAAAAAAAAAAAAATCAATTCTCATACTATTTTAAGAAATTACTAACCCCTAAAAATGTGACCAGCTATTTTTGATTACAAAATCTATAAAGGTCTTTAAAATCGTTCGCGTTGTTTGTTTTGATAATGGAATAAAGAAAGTTTATAAAAAAAAAAAAAAATTCTTAAATTTACGCCTATCATTGTCGATGAATAATAAATTTTAATTTGTTCTTTGAATTTTCGTGTTCAAGTTTATTTGCCATTATACCATATTAGATATCAAGTCACTAAACTTGCAAATTAAATAACATGTTGGCTAATTTAAAGTTTTATTAATTAAATACTATGAAGAACCTCTGTACATATGTCAAAAAATTCGGAAGAATATTGCAAATATTTTCGGTCTTTTTACTTTTGCTTACATATCGATCGATCGAAAATTATCATCATTTTAATATAATAATTACAAAATATTAAATATACTTCGCATATACTTTTATATACTTTAAAAAAATTGATCCAATCCAATATTTTCCTAAATAATATAATATTATATATATATATATATATATAATATATAATATATAATATATAATTCGGGGATAATTCCGAATTTCCTTTTAACTAAATATAAACCCTTGATACAACAACGTATACAATATAATTAAAACAATGTGTTATTTGGATGTTTAATTTAACTTAAACAGGGATTTTATATAACTTTTGTAATAGATAATGCAATATGAAGTTTCCCTTGTATCAGTGTAAAATTGACGAATGATCGACTAGTAATTTTATATGGTATTATATAACATGTATAACACAAAGTTTCATTCATTTTGCATTAATAAAGAAAAAAAAAAAAAAATAATAAATAATTTTCGATTGGCTACAAAAATTATAAACAAACTGAACCTGCATTTGTCTTCTCTTTTTCTCTTTTTTTTTTTTAGTACACCTTTTTCATTTGCCCAACTGAAAAATTTGACGTCATTATTGTATGCAATGTAGAATATATGACGTTGATCCAATTAAATTTTAAATTGAAAGAATCAACTTTCTCGCTATATATAAAATTAGAAATTAACCGTTTTTTATTTTTTTTCTTATAAATATTATATAATTTGGTATATAATCAAAAATGTATATATAGTTTTTTACGCACAGTATAAATTAGTATAAATTAGTATAAATTTGTAATCTTCATAATCTTATCCCTGAATCTTAATTGCCTTTTGTGCGACATCATTTATCGAATGAAACATGTTTAAAGTTACATAAAAATGACCTTATCATAACTATAATACCTAAAATCTAAACCTAAAGTTAACTACTAAAATAATGCGATTGAACTTCTAGACAAATTGGCTAAGCCTCAATTATTAAGGTTTCATTGTTTCAAAGATATTATATAGTCATATGCTAGGGGGTATACTTAGGGGCGAATAATCATTTATCTGAAACATGTGCAGTATCAAAAATATTTTAAATTTTATTCATGAGAAAGGAATAAAGAACAGTCAATAATAATGTACAGTATATCGTAAAATGTATAAAATACCTGGAGTACTTGAGTAATATATACTATATACTATTTAATTACTATATAATTATATTATACTTAGAATATAACTAGAATATATATGGAATTGTCTATAATTGCTTGACTTTAATTCTCTTAAAGTTTAATATCCAAAAAATTTTAAAGTTTTTTTTTAGTTTGGTTGCAATTTTGGTTCAGCTGAATTCTGTATCACCCCTAATAATCTTATTGGTATAAATCTTAAAAAATCATGATTTAGTTGATTTACTGTATATCTTATTATTATTCATTGTACTGATTTGATTTTTCTTTAAAGTTAGAATTTTTTGCTGTTGATCAAAAACAGAAAGTGCTTACTGAATGAAGATCTAACAAAAAAATTTTTTTGTTGTGAATATTTTAAGATTAATTGGCTTGAAGAAGTATTCAGATGTTGGTTCACTATTGGATGAGTATTGGATGTATGGCCTTTAAAGCCTTTAATCCTAATATCGATATTTGAATCACGTGATCACTTAAATATTGTCCATTTTATTTCATCTTTTGAAAATTTTTACAATTTTTATTTTTCTCAAACTTTTTCTTTAAACTTATTAATAATCCTTCTCATTACTATACAATTATTCAGGGAAAAGTACTCTTTTTTTTTTTAAAAAAACATCAAAAAGTTTTCTTTATTAGTATCTTTCCATTTAATTATTATTTATTTATTTTTTTTTTTGACTTTAAATATTTATATAAAAAGTTTCTTTTTAAAAAAAAACCCCTTTTTTTTACAGAATCTTACAAATGTTAAAAGAAATTATTATTTTATTTTTTTTTTTAAAAAAAAAATAGGCCTCTTAAGACTTTAAAAGGCTTCACCGTTAATTTCGATCAGGTTGTCTCAAAACAAAGATCATTCTAACGGCAATAGTTGATTACCCCCTGAGCCCTGACTCCTGAGGTCACTGAGGTCAGGCGGTTTGAAAAAATCCTGCGGAATTAGTGTCCTCGTACAAACCCCATGCAAGCCGATAAATCGGGCTTGTGATACACTTGTCCCGTTTATAAAGGGTTTCGATTGATTTTTTTTTATTTCGTTAGAAACACATAATTTTTTTTAATTCATAAAAAAATCAAGTTATTAAACATGGTATTTATTCAAAGTATTTCGTTTAAAATGCTTTTATTTAAGACAATTTTTAATATAATACCTGTTTGATTTATTAAGCCTCCAAAAAAATCAACAACAAAAGATCGAAAGTTTGAAAAAGCAGATTGGAAAGAAGGTTTTAAGAAAAAGCAAGTTGGAATAGCTGATATGACTATGTTGAGTAAAGTTAATAATGAAGCTATTAACGAAAATTTAAAGAAAAGGTTTGAAAATGCTGAAATATATGTATGTAATTAAATCAAAATTCTGGAATGAATCATTTTTTTTTTGTTGATTAAAATTTTTAGAGTGTATTTCAGATTGGATAAATTTTTATTAACATTCAATTAATAGACATATATTGGTCATGTACTGATCAGTGTAAATCCTGTCTCTTATACACATCTAGATGTGTATAAGAGACAGATACAGATGAGATCTTGCGTAGTTATACTGGTAAAAATAGATTGGAGGTAATATATATAATGAAATTGATTTTTTTATTTGTTTAATCTTAACTTTTATTCACTGAAAAGTTTTTTTTTTTTTTTTTTAATATTTAGATGCCTCCTCATGTTTATGCTGTTGCCGAATCATCATATTATCATATGAATAGTTATAAAGAAAATCAATGTATTATTATTAGGTATTTTGTGCTAATAATGCAAATAAACAATGATTTAATTATTATTTATTATATTAATAATTTATTATAAATTTTAGTGGTGAATCTGGTGCTGGGAAAACTGGTTAGTATTTATTATAATTTTAAAAGTTTGAAATGATAATGAATTCATTATTTATTATTATTATTATTATTACTTTTTTAAAAAAAAAACTCAGAGGCTGCTAAGAGGGTAATTTATTTAAATCAAGTGATAATTGTTTCATCATACAAATATATTTAATTAATCTAATATTTTTTTTTACTATTTTTTTTTACAGATTATGCAATATATTGCAACAGTTAGTGGTGGTGCGACCTCTTCAATTAAGGAAATTAAAGATATGGTTTTAGCTACGAATCCTCTATTGGAAAGTTTTGGTTGTGCTAAAACACTTAGAAATAATAATTCAAGTCGTCATGTAAGTTATTAATTAATTACCTATTAATTTTGGAAGTTATTAAATTTTGAATAATTAAGTTTGGTTTAAAATTTTCAGGGAAAATATTTAGAAATTCAATTTAATAGTAACGGAGAGCCTGTTGGTGCTATTATTACTAATTATTTATTAGAGAAGGTGAAGACATTTTTTTTTTGGTCTCATTTTTCGGCCAAAGATACATTTAAGAGTAATTCAGATTTTTTTAAAGGAATTATTAACATTTCTTTATTTAAATAGGGACGCGTTGTTGGACAAATTGAGAATGAACGTAATTTCCATATATTTTATCAATTCACTAAAGCCGCTTCTTCTGAATATCAAGGTACGTCATTTTTCAGATATACTGATTTCCCTTAAAAAGATTCTAACAAAAATGTTTCTTTATAGAACAATTTGGTATTCAGGGTCCTGAAAGTTATTTATATACTAGTAAAAGTGATTGTTTAGATGTTGATGGTATTGATGATGTAGAAGATTTTGAAGAGACTTTGGTAATGATTTATATCTCTTTTTATTATTGCAAGCCATATTATATACTTAATGATGGTAAAATTATAGAAAGCGATGGAGGTTATTGGACTTCAAAAACATGAGCAAGATGATATTTTTAGAATGTTGGCAATAATATTATGGTTGGGAAACGTTTTATTCGACGAGGGAGATGATGGAAATTCAGTTATCAATGATGAAAATGGTAGATATAGACAATCTCGACATAATTTTTGAGTCGATTATGAACTAATTTATTTATATTATATATATAGTTACAAATTACATTGGTCATTTAATGGATGTAGATTCAGCAGCTTTAAACAAGGTATTTTTCATGTTATAATTCTTCATGGAAAAAAAAAAAAAATTTTAACACTAATATAATAGGTTTTAACAAGTCGTACAATTGAAACAACGCGTGGAGGGCGTCGTGGTTCTGTATATGACGTTCCTCTTAATCCCGTTCAGGTATCTTGTTATTTATTTTTCTTTTGAAATTTTCGGGTTTACATATTAAAAATTCTTTTATAATGTAATATAGGCATCAGCCGTGAGAGATGCATTGGCCAAAGCGATATATAATAATCTATTTGAATGGATAGTAGAACGTGTAAATAAAGCATTACGTTCACGATCACAATCATCCTATGTAATTGGAGTGTTGGATATTTATGGATTTGAAATTTTTGAAGAAAACTCATTTGAACAATTATGTATAAATTACGTTAATGAAAAATTACAACAAATATTCATTGAATTAACGTTAAAAGCTGAACAAGAAGAATATGTCAATGAAAAAATTAAATGGACACCAATAGATTTTTTTAATAATAAAGTAGTATGCGATTTAATAGAAGAAAAACGACCTCCGGGTTTATTTGCTGCCATGAATGATGCTTGTGCTACTGCTCATGCTGACCCTGAAGCTGCTGATAATAGTTTTGTTCAACGATTAGGATTTTTAAGTTCAAACCCTCATTTTGAGAGTAGAGGTAGTAAATTTTTAGTTAAACATTATGCCGGTGATGTCTTATATTCTATACCTGGTATGACTGATAAGAACAAAGATCAGTTGGTAAAGGATATATTGGAGTTAGTTGCCTCAAGTGATAATAAATTCTTGAGTGCATTATTCCCTAATCGTGTGGATAAAGATTCTAAAAAGAGACCTCCTACCGCAAGTGATAAAATTAAGGTACGTGAGTGATTCAAGGAGGGAAGAGGAGGATTTGAATTTTTTTTTAAAAATAACTTTTTTTTTTATTTAGGCATCAGCAAATGAATTGGTGAAAAAATTAATGCAATCTCAACCTTCTTATATACGTACCATAAAACCAAATCAAAACAAGAGTCCTTCAGAATATGATTCAAAAATGGTTTTACATCAAATTAAATATCTTGGATTAAATGAAAATATTAGAGTACGTAGGGCTGGTTTCGCTTATAGACAAACATTTGATAAATTCATAGAAAGGTAATATATTCTGAAAGAAGGGGTAGGAAGTAAATTATTTATTAATATTGTATTTTAAATAATTGATGATTATTTAGATTTTATTTGTTATCGAAGAAAACTTCTTATGCTGGAGATTATATTTGGAAAGGTGATCAGAAATCTGGTACACAAACCATTTTAAAAGATTGCGGTATTGCGGCTGAGGAATGGCAAATGGGTGTTACAAAAGCATTTATTAGACATCCAGAAACGGTAAACATAAAAACTTGGAAATTTTTTTTTAATAACATTTCTTTCTTTATATTAAATTCTTCTTTTAAAATCCATTAAGATTTGGGCACTTGAACATTTACGTGATAGATATTGGCATAATATGGCAATGAGAATTCAGCGAGCGTATAGAAATTATGTGAGATATAAGAATGAGTGCGCTAGGCGTATACAAAGATGTTGGAATAAGAACAAAGATCAAATAATTTATGTACAATTAAGAGATTATGGACATCAAATACTGGGACAACGAAAAGAAAGAAGAAGAATGAGTTTATTGAGTATGAGAAAATTTATGGGAGATTATTTATATGTTAATGACGAAAGTGGTGAAGAGTTAAGAAGGGTTTGCAATTTTGGAAGTGAGTAAATTCAAAAAGGAAAAATGATAAAGGAATATTGATTATTTTGGGAGAAAATATATTAATTTTATTTTTTATTATTAGCTAATGAACTCGTAGCATTTAGTAGCAAGATTCAATTACTTGTTGGTCGTCTTGGAAGATCTAGTAAACCGAGTCCTAGATATTTGATTTTGGTAAAAAATTTTTTTTTCTCTTTAACTGAATTTATTTTAACTTGAATTAATTTTTTTTTTTTTTTGTAGACTGATAAAGCAATATATATTATTATATCGACAATTGAAAAGAAACTTTTAACAATGAATGTTGAAAGAAATATTCCATTAATCTCAATTACTGGAGTCAGCTTGTCAAATTTAAGAGATGATTGGGTAGTACTTCACGTTAATAATCCGACTAAAGAATTAGGAGATCCAATATTTTCATGTCTTTTCAAAACAGAATTACTTGTTCATTTATTACAAAGAACAGGATCAAGAGTACAAGTTAACATTGCACCACAAATAGAATATTGTAAAAAATTGAACAAGACTGCCACACTCAAAGTTGTTAAAGATGAAAGTATTAAAAAGAATGATGTATATAAAAGTCATACAATTAGTGTGTCTAGTGGTGAACCTGCAGATAGTTTATCGGATCCTCCTTGTCCAAAAAAAGAGCCTCCACCGAGACCTATCACTTCTGGAAAATTATTAAAACCAGGTGGTCCTAAAAAAAAAGTAACTGCCTCAAAACCTATAAAGAAGCCACCACCAGTTATTACTCCAGATCCAGATACAGCAGCTACAACTAATTATAAAAGAACATCTACTGGTCCAGGTAAAGGGGTTCCACCACCACCACCGCCTCCTGCACCACAAAAACCACCTTCACCTCCACCTCCACCTACAAATCCAACTTTTAAGGCCGTTTATGATTTTTTAACGGAAGATACAGGAGAATTACCATTTAAATCTGGGGATACATTAGAAATTCTTCAAAAAGATGATAATGGTTGGTGGTTAGCTAAAAAAGATGGTAAACAAGGATGGGTACCAAGTAACTACTTGGAAGAGATTAAAGTAGCACCAAAAACAAATCCTGCATTACCAGCTAGACGTAAACCTCCACCTGCTCCCCAAGAAAAGAAAAAGGAACCTCCGCAAGAATTTGCTGCTGAAGAAGAAGCAGAAGAAAAGGAGCCTGCAAAAAAATCTCGTTTTAGTACTTCTATTTCAAATCCAACAAGTAAAAGTTATAACGATTCCTCAGCTCCTGTACCTGTATTCCCAGGTATGGCGCCTGTTAATAGTGCAAGTGGTGTACCTCCATGGAAGGCTGCTCTTGAGGCTAAAAAAGCTGCTGCTAGGGTAAGTTATTTTTATTTAATACTACCTATAACATGAATTAAAAATCTTTTATTTTTTTCAAAAAAATTTAGGCTTCTGAAACTGTAAATTCAACTGAAGATACTGAAAATGAACGTCCAGTCGCTCCTTCGAGAAAAACAGTGGGATCTGGTATGTAAATATTTGTTCACAAATCAACTTTTACTATTGATAAGCATAGTAAGATTAATAATTATATATAACAGCTAAGAAAACTCCACCACCGGTAGTTTCTAAACCGACAATTCCACCTAGACCTTCGACCGGAGGAAAGCCTCCTGCTCCTCCAAGACCAGGGACTTCAGGATCAAAGGTATGTTTGTTAAATTTCTAAAGTCATTTATTATCTTATCAGTTAGATATCATATTTAATATTTTATATTAATTATTTAGCCACCAGCACCACCGCGACAAAGTGGACAGATGAGCCTTGCTGATGCAGTAAGTTTGATTTAATATTTTCTTTTTTTTTTATATTGTGACATATTCATTATAATTTATTATTGATATATTATACATCTGTTATTTAGCTTAAACAAAGAAATAAAAGTTTAAATAACAATGACGATGATGATGATGATGATGAAGATTGGAATTAATTAGATAATTAAAATTCCTCTTAATGATAATCTAGTCATAAAGAAAAAATTATAACCTAAAATTAAATTAGAAAATTATTTATTTCTGTTAAGGTTTAATTAATTATTTATTATTATTTTTTTTTTTTAAAAAAAAAAAAGAAAATTATTTTCATCTGTTTTAATTGTTATTTATCAAAATTTTATATTATGATTATTATATTAATATCTCCTAAATTATTAATAAACATAATAACTATCACCTTTTCAAAAAAAAATTCTTTTCACTTATTAAGAATACTGTAGACTTTTTATTATTGTATATATATATATTTTTTTATTTTATATGATTGGTATATTATGTTATATACAGTAAAAAATTTTTAAACATGATGAATATTATGTACCAGTTATTATAAATTTATAAATTTAATTTTAATTCAATATATTTTCCATTAAATTATATTATAATTATGAGAAAATGAAGAGAAAAAAAATGTAATAAATAAATAAATAATTGTAATTTATAATTTTAAAAAATATAACTATCATAATTAGAAGGAGCATAGAAAAATCCAGCCATTAATACCGCATAAGATAAAATTAATATAGATCCTTTAAAATAATTTGATTTTCCTTCTATGTAAGTATAAGTTAATAAAAATACTGAAAATACTACAGCAAATACATCCCATTTGGGAAATACCAACCTATAATAATAATAAAAAAAATTTTGGTTTAGAAAAAATTTTTTTTTTTTTTTTTTTTAAAAGAAAAAAAAGAAAATTAGAAGGGTTGATGACTTACGTGAATGTGCGATCTTTCTGTTGATCAACTGTTTTGCCTCTATTAACCCAAGCAGAATATGCTACCATAGCTGGGATTTGTAAAAGGCATACTTGTAATGCATAAGCTGAACCGATTTCCATACTATAATTAAATTAAAATGAAATAAAAAAAATTAATCAATATTAAAATTAAGTTTTTTTTTGTTTTTTTTAAAAAAAAAGAAAAAAAAAGAAAAATTAATTTACCTAAGAGCAATATTTCCATATAAAGAAAATAACATTGCATTAAGAAATTCTGTTACGTTTGGTACTAAAGCAAACAGAGTTAATCCTAATATTTTTTCTGTCGTATTAACATGTTTTAAAACAAATGTAACATTCTCAACCAAAATTTCTAAAAAAAAAAAAATGAAAAAAAAATATTCAAATTAATATTTTAAAAATCATGGAAGACTTTTTAAACTAAAAAATTCTCTTACCTGCAATGAAAGAATATAAAGCAGTACAAGATAATAATACGAATCCACTTTTAAATTTACCCCAATTAGGAGAATCATGACCACGAACTTCTTCTTCTTCTTCTTCTTCTTCTGCTTCTTCAGGTTCATTAGCATGTCTTAAATTAATTGTTGGTTGATTAGCTACACTAGCTAAATTAATTGTATTATCATCATTATGAACAAGTATACTTTGAATTGGAATCGCTGAACTAGGTGCTGACATAGCTCTTGGTAATGGTGGTGGTAAATGTTCATTCTGTGGATTAATATGTTGCTGTTGTTGTTGTAGGAAATTTGGTGAGTGTGGAAGTAGTTGTTGAATAATATTTACAGGAACCCAACGTTGATATATGGATTGTGGTCGTTCCGGTCGTTCTTGTGGTGTTTGATAAACTAATGCTGCGTGCGTACGTAATGAAAACCATAATCCAATTAAATATGACTACACAACATGTCATCATTCTGTTAGTAATAGTGAATAAACTTTTGATGAAAAAAAAAAAGGTTTAAGGAGATGTTTACCAATAAAAGAATTATTGAGCAGAAATACATCAATGGTTTGACGTGATCTTTGTATAATGGAGTTTCGATCGGTTCAACTTCTGAGTGCGAACATATCTGACAAGATTCTGCAAATAATGTTTCATCACACGGTTTACAAGACATTTTATACTAATAAAAAGCAATAAAAATTAATTACTTTTTTTTTAAAAAAGAAATAAATAAAATTATTAAAATTATTTAAAATAAAAAAACAAACTTACAGGAGCATATGTTTGAAAGAACAAAGTTGGAGTAAATGCACCAATGATAGCCATAATAAGCATGGTTGATGTCACTCCTGTAAAATTCAATAAATAAATTCAGTACATACACATATATTTATTTATATTTAAAAAAGGAAACTTTTTCATAAAATTACCTGCACTTTTAGAATTAAAATTTTGTTCTTTTCTTTTAAAACCACCACTTACCATACTAACACCAGGCATTAACAGGACACCAGCCATAATACTTCCAATAATACTACCCTCCGTTAATTTACCTTTGCCTCTATTTAAAGCAATAGCATATAAAATAATTTCAATAATACTACCAAAAGTTGCATTAATAACAGCTCCCAAACCAATAGATGATTGAGCTGAAATAGAAGCTACTGCTGTACCAATAAAATAACTTAAGGGTATAACTGATGCTAATGATAATGCAAATATAAATTCTTCTGTTGAAAAAAAATAATCTTTAAATTTATGTTTAAGAAATCGATCATCTATAATAACAAAGAATACTATCGGCATTAAATTTATAAACATTATGTTAATCCCTTCATATGTATACTTGTAATATTGCAATCCAAAAGCTCTATATGTACATAATAATACTGCTGATCTTGATGTTGTTCGAGATGATCCTGATTTAAAATGTAATGATAACGGTTTTCTATTTAAGTGTTTAAGTAATTCAAATATTAATTTTGCCATTGGTATTGGAAATACTGATAACCAACATATGACTGAAACGAAAAAAAATGATGGGGCTAAAATATTGATAAATAACTTGTTAAATTATGTTCACATATTATATAATAAAATGACCAATTTCTTGTGACTTACCTAGAACTGTGTAGAATAAGAAATAAAAGAAAACGCCTGATGGACCAATTTCATCCAACTTTTCAAATAAATTAAATTTTTCTGAACGGCTATTTCTTCTTGAATTTATATAAAGACTTCTTCCCAATAAAGGTCTAGTCTCACTTTCCTCGATATCCACATCATGATGACTAAAATAGTCAGTTTGTTGTTCATGACTTGATGTATCATCAAGCCAATCATCGTCTTTTTCGACAAATTTACCGAATGGCCAAAGTATATATAAACTTAATTCTTGTAATACTTGTGCGTACCTCCATCCTTCAAATGGCGTCAAAAATAATATAATTGATACAACAAATGATATCATTGCTAACCACCATCCAAAACATATTGCCCAAAAAATGTTACCAGGACTAATATATAAATCTGGAGATGGTACTGAATGAAGCGCTGAATTCGCATTACGCGTCACAGACCGAGATTTTTTATATAACGCCGGTTTCCATATTGGTAAACCAAACGGATGAGTAATGTTGATAGCCTAATCGTAAATATGAATTAAAAGGTCTAATCCGTATTATAAATCAGTAAAAATAACTAGCATACATTCAACTTACTTCTTGTCTATCTTTAAGAGTGACAGGTTCATGATCAGATTCATCCTCATCGATTTCGTCTTCATTTTGATTTTCATCAATTGCGTCATCTTCCACATGAGATGATACACTAGATTTTCTACGTCTATATGAATGCCGTTTTCTTAAACCTTTTCTTTTACGTCTTTTAGAATCGCCAGAATCATAATCGTAATCATCGTCATCGTCATCATCGTCATCATAAGATTTGAGCCGACGTAATTTAGGCGTCAATAATGTTGGTGTCGTGGGATTTGATCTTGGATCATTGATCGATATTCTGTGTGGTCCTTCGGAAGGTTCAACACTACTATTGACACTACTGCCCGCAATCGCTGAAGCTTGAGTAGGGGGTACACTTTGATTATCTTCTTGTGACATTCTCTAAGTTATTTACTATTATTTTAAGTTATAAACTAATATTACAAGTTTTATTATCATTAATTATATTATTAATTACCTATTTTCTTTTTCATAAACAAAACAAAAAAAAAGAAAAAGGAGAAACAATAAATTTATTGAAAAATATCTAATTTAAGATTTAAATTTATAAGTTTTAGTGTACGACAAAGGATTACCATAAATGTAATTCCAATAAACCGTCATTGATTGTAAACTTTTTTGCGATGCAATGGATAATGGATGCAAATGCTAACTAAATATTTATATCACGTTTTGTTTGTTTTAACTATTACTATAATTAAGATTACTTAATAGCATAAAGATTACTAATTTGTAATGTTAATCGGGAGTAACTTTTTGATTTCCTCCCAAATTAATAATTTATTAATAATTATAAATCCCTTGGCGTTCTTAGTCCCGATAATTGACTATAAAATAAGATTCTCCCTTTTCTCCTTTTCTCCTTAAAATCAAGATTTCGCTGCACTTACACGTGATTCACGTATGTGTGACTTCATAACGAGAAAATATTTTACTCTCAGAATAATAACGAGTAATATTTTCATCAATAGATCTTAATTTTTCAGTTGGGCAATGGCACTTGAACAATATCAAAGAGAATTTATAGAGTTCTTAATTTCACAAGAAATTTTAAGTTTCGGTTCGTTTACATTAAAATCTGGTCGTATAAGTCCATATTTTTTGAATACTGGAAAATTCAGTACGGGAGAATCATTATCAAAAATTGGTAAATATTATGCAAAAACCATAGAATCATATTCACATGAACTAGCTTATGATGGAATATTTGGACCGGCATATAAAGCCATACCATTAATATCTTCAACAGTTATAGCATTATCAGATGTATTCAAAAAAAATATACCATATTCATTTAATAGAAAAGAAATAAAAGATCATGGAGAAGGCGGTAATATCGTTGGAGCATCTCTTAGTGGAAAAATATTAATTATTGATGATGTTATTACGGCTGGTACTTCTATTAGAGAAAGTTTTGAAATCATTTCAAAGCATGGAGCGAAGGTCTCTAGTGTTCTTATCGCTGTCGATAGACAAGAAAAAGGAACTGGACATAAATCTGCTGTACAACAAATCGAAAGTGATTTTGGTGTTCCTGTTAAAGCTATTGTTAATTTAGATCAAATTATTGAATATATTGAAGAGAAAGGTGATTATGATGAACACTTAATAAAGATGAAAGAATATAAAGCTTTATATGGGGTATAAAGTATAATTATTGATAGAAAAAAAAATTAAATTAATAAAATTACAAAGTTCTTCTAATCTACAAGATAAATTCCTAACTCTTTTCTCATTTCTTCAATATTTTTATCCCAACATTCTTCGTAATAAACATTCAATAAAAATTTACATTGAGATCCACATTGTAAAGCCCAAGGGACATATTTTTTAAATAATCTTTCTTTTTCCTTAAAAGAAAGTCTTATAGGCCCAAAAATAGAACTCAATAAAGTCATAGGCAATCCAGTTTGAACTAACTCAAACCATTTTAATGCCAATTCACCTTCAACATTTGTAGGTAAATTAGTTAAAGTATGAAAAAAATCATGGCATTCCCTATATCTTTGCATGACATAAGCTAATTCATCATCATAAATATACTGTACTTTGACTCTTGTATCTGGCGTTACTTTTTGTTCATCCAAAAAATTTGTGTATTCTTTACCAAATGTTCCTAATGGTAATGAACGTAAATATGGAATATCTATTGTACTTGAATGAATTCGTGGACGTTCTCGAAGAATTCTCCGCCCTGTTTTGTCTCGTAACATATTATCTCTCATTTCATTGACAAATATTGATCCCGTTGTCTCTCCTAATGTCGCTATCATATCTATTAAGGAAAAAATGAAAATAAGTTGTTTATAACAATGAATGAAAATAAAAAAGAAGTTTACCTCCTCTTTTTGGATCAAAGAATGCTGTAAATGCTGATGATACTGCAAGTATACTTTTTTGAAGATTAGATATTTGTGCATTTGTACTTGATGCATAGTGTGCTCGTAATTCTAATTTTTTTTTATCTAAAGTATTATTATATTCATTATATTCATTTATAATTATATTTCATATTTAATATTAATACAATACCTCTATGTAAATTAATAGGTAATATATTTCGAATTAGTAAAATTTTTCTTGTTAAAACTTGTGATGATACCGGTAATGATAATGTTGAACGCAACATTTCTTTATTGAATTATTTATAATTAATATCGTGAATAGTTTATATATTGATACATGATAAACTTGGATAAACTTGTGAAACGACTTTTAGAAATTGATCTCATGAGATAAGTGAGATTTCAACATATAATCAGTCATACGTGTTGTGACAACTGGAAATTCACATGACAATAAAATATATTCTTCGCTTATGCCCAAAAAATTCTTAGTTTCTTAGTTTGCGCTTTGCACATACAAAATTTTGATAAAATAATGTTTATTAAATAAGTCTTTGAATTCATCCCTTGGGAGGAACTGCCAGCATATAGAATTCTTCAGAATCTAAATAATAAAGCTTCTCCAGCACAGAATTTCCGCCTGATTAGCCTTTATCCTTTCATTTTCTGCAGTACATGCATTTTCATATAAGCGGTCTATATTTTATGAGCCAGACGAAACGAGTTCATAAATTCGAAAAGACAGATAATATTTTCTTAAATCTTGCTAATTAGATTGGAAAAGTTTTTTGTTAAATCTGTTCGATGAATCACATTTCGGGATAAAATTTATATTTGCGATTGTAAAAATATTACTCAATCTACTTTAATATTGTAATATATTAAAAATTAAAGGATATATATTAAAATACTATTTAGAACACTATGTAGTAATGCTTATTTTAAAGAATCAGGGTGTAAAAAATGCAATTTACATAAATAAATCACATATAAGCACGCATAGTTAATTACATCAACCGAAAATCCATTCCGTTTTGTCTAGCATCATCTAAAATTTCATTGATGGGCACAACGGCACATGATCCATGATTTTCATTACGCCCATGTAAAATCCCCCATAGTATGCCATTTTCGTCGAAAACAGGAGATCCCGAATCTCCTTTCGCACCTATGTATAACAAATTAATTATAAGCGGATTGTTTTCGATGAATATGACCGGAAAAATGATACTACTTACTAAAAGCATCGCCGTATTCATCTAACACTAATATAGCCTTGACAAAATTGAACGGTGAAAAATTAGTGAGGGTATACAAATAATCTCTTGTCGATCCTTCAGTGTGCCCTGTCGTTCTTCCGATCTTCTGAATAGGTACTTCGGGTTTGTATAATGATTTTAAATCAGTTCCCACAAAATCTTTGATTCCATTAATAGCAATATGAGATTTATACGGAGGCTCTGATATGTTGCGGTTATTGTTGATTTCACAAAAAGCGTAATCAAGCAAGCATCCACGCTCATTACGTTTAAAAGATTTACACTTGATCGTAGCACAAGAATCATCAAGTGAACCCTACAGAAACGGTGTTATAAAAAATGACAGAAAGGTACAATCAATACCATACATTATCTATTGTGCCCGGTTGAACCCACCTCCCCTACTGCATGGTCTACGGTAATTATATATCTTTTTTCTTCTGTTGTTGTCTTTATTAAAAGAAAATTTTTTTTTTTTAAATTTTATTCATAATTAATAAATCATTCAAATTAAGATCCGTCTTTTGTTACTTACACATAATCCACGGGATGTAGTTTTAAAAAAAGCTCCTAGTGTAGCCGTACTGCTTATAGAAAGATCGCCAATGCTAACTCCTGATGACAAAGTATCATGACGATTGCGATAAAGTGGTTCAAAGGTCCCGTAACCAATTATTACTGGAAAACCTTTGAACTTTGCTGACACTTTCCTAAGATGAACATCTGACTTTTCGGCCGGATTTAATACAGCAATGATGTAGGCTTTTCCGTCAACCTTCCCCGGATATGCATAGATTATTGGAATTACTTTTGCATATTCTTCTGCAAAAAGAACGGAAGCAACAGCCATACCACCATCAGATATATGTTGAATTTTACGATCGCCAACTTCCGGAACTGCTTTAGCTTCTATAATTGTAGATATTAATCAGGTACAGTTATATTTTGGATTTACCTTCAATTATCACATACCTAAATCACCTAAGTCTTTGCAGAGCTTTCTCAAACCTCTGTTAATTTTTCTCTCATGAAGTACCCTAAGTCGAAATGTAGGCCAGTCCAACATAATATCCAATTCGTGAATGTATATCTAGAAATAAATAAGTTCATGAGATATTTGATTAGATGTATCAAAACCAGATCTTTACTGACCTTTAAGTTTTCCTTAGAGGATTTTTTGTGTAGATTAGATTTTGTTTGTTGGATGAATTCTTTAAATGAGCTAAATTCTAACTCGTTATTTACTACAATTTTAAATCCTTTAGGCGTAAATTTGATCAAACCTTTTGTCGAAGAATTGTTATCGACAATAGTATCATTTTGGACAAGTTCCATTTTTTCAGTGCAAATTTTGAAACTGATACGTGATTCGACAAGAATATGTATACTCTTTTCGTCATTATTTAAAAAGAGTTTAAAGAGATCAATATTATCAGTATTTTTCATTTCCAAGCCTTCAAGATCTTCCCTTATATTAAAACAGTCAGCAATGAGTTTTATTAATTTCTCATCCTGCCCACAAAAAGGAATATCAACTTTCCACAGCTTGAAAGAAAGATCGTCAAAATTCTGCTCTTCAAGGATGATCTTTTTGAGCCCCATAACGGTTTCTCCTCTTTTAACATTGATTTTAAAAAGTTCAGAAAGGGTGTTGCCTACAATCAAACAATTTATCATATAATTCATGTTTTCGTTATGTTAACAGAAGAATTTTAGTAAGTGTTATCACTATAAATCTGGTTTGAAGTGATAACTAACGTTGGAGATATCAAGTTGATTAATTGTCAAACAGTCAAGATTATAGGTGTCTCAATAATATTGTAACAAAATATACATGTATTACTAATAATTTTCAATAGAATATTAGCAATAAAAGTGTAATTCTGGTAAAATAATGTAAGAGTTTCTTAAGGATAAAAAAAAATCTATCAAATAAATAATAATAAAACACAAAGGTAAGTACATAATACTGTAAAAAAACTAACAATCAAATCATATAAAAAAAATAATACTTCAGATAATACAATCTAAACTTGACTCAGGTGCTAACAACTTTTATTCAAAAGAAAATATTGCCCTATATATATTTATACATGACAGTTTGAACTTATCAATATTAATCTATTATACTAATATGATTTATCAATCAATTATTCTTTTCTTATTGCAATTATCTGTAAAAATCTTTCTATTACCATTTTGTATAAGTTCCATATGTTTATTATATGATTCATCAACTATGCAAATCTCAAGAAACTTCTCTAACTAACTAACTAACTAATAAAGCAATTTTACTAATGTTATAATAATTAAACTGATACTTATAATTGAATATTTATAAGTCAAAAGCAATAATAATACTAAAAGTAGTTAATTAATGTAAGTAATTAATAAAACTAAAATATATTATAAGAAATATTTCATATTATAATAAACTCAGCTATAATCATGAAATTTCTGCTGCATTATATGATTTGTTTGATCTTTAACTATTTCCATGGATAACTCTAACAATAATTTTAAATAATTCTATTTAAGCAAAAATTTTGGTAACATAAGGGAATAATTAATTATCAAAGATTGGAAATGATCTTTATTTTATATATAAAGAAAATATTTTATTTAATAACTTCACATCTAATAATCACAGAAAGATGAAATAAAACTCATTAGAATTGTCTCATCAAGACAACTCCAATGGTAGTTGTTTTATGTCTCTAAGTATAATAAATGCAGAGTTGTTCATAAAAATGTCAAAAATTAGCATTTTTTATTTGGAATTTACTGTGCTATAGCAGGACCCAAATATTACTAAAACAACTCAAATCCTATGTAACTAAAATTTTAAAATGCGATATTGTGATCAATATTATACCTAAAAAGATGAATTATATATTAAAATGTTCGTCTTATTGAGACGAATCTAATAAACCAAAAATCATTAAAATCCAATTAATAAATCCCGAGATGAGGGTAAAATCTACATATAATTTTATATATTTGAAACAGAAATTAATTATAAGGTTTATATAAATTCAGATCTGAGTTTTTTAAGTAATATTTGGGTTTTGTCACTAAGGTTGCTGGAGAAACTAGGGGGTTTTGGCAAGTTGGCGAAATGCTGAAATGGTAAAACTTTGCCGAAACTATATGAAAGTCTTATTAAAAAGTTGGCAAAACTCTGGAGAAAAGCGAAACCTGACAAAATTTATTATAAATGCCGAAACTGCTAAAACCTTGCTGAAACTATAATAAAACTATAGTAAAATCTTGGAGAAACTAATTGTAAAATTTTGGAGAGATTTAGGCAGGCAACCTTATCTGTCACAGAACTTAGATACAAAGTTTTTGCACCAGAAATGTCTGAAACATATTCTATTTCTCTTAGTATCATCTTTATCTTTGAATCGATATTATTGTCTCTAAAGTCTTTTTTAAACATTTCTGATATCACTTTAAATGCTTGTGTTTGATTTTTTTTGAAGTCTTCAAGATTTATTACCCTCATTTTAATGGGATCGTTAAACAAGTATATGTGTATTTAATATTAGTAGTAATTATTTTTAAAAAAAAACTTAAAAAAAAGATTACTATTATTTCGCATTATTATAAATTTTTAAAATTTTCTGGTTAATATGATAATTTAAACCCTATTTTTGTGATAATGATAATCATTAAAAGTTTTTTTATATTTGTAAATATTAGTAAGTATAAGAATACATGCTTCATTAAAGTTCAGCCTAAAATATGAAACATGTTCTGAAATGAAATATAAATTATCTTCTATTGATTCTTATAGATCTTCAGAATCATTACCAATTTTTCTCTTTGATATCTTATAGGTTTCATTATCAACATAGACCTCTTCTTCAGATGAATTAAAAATTCATTCAGAATAGTCTCTTTTACTTCTAATTTGATTTTTTTGTTTATGATATTGAGTTAAATATTAAAAGTTTATGTATACCATACAATAAACAAAATAAAAAAACATTACTAGTGATACTTCAATTGATAAATTTGCATTTAATAGGAGACCATATGCAATAATAAACTAAACTCCTTATGAGCATTCAACATACTCTTCAGAGGAAATAGTTAGAGTATTTATTTGTAATTCTTTAATTATGGTTTTCTGTTTTTCTTAGTGTTTGCCTGAATGAAATATACTATAAGTTTTCATTATTTATCACATAAACTGCACTTTGAAACTTACTATTATTCAGTGAAATTGTTATAAATTCTTTTTCAAATTCTTTAAACTATATCATTTTAACTAATACTTGCAGTTTTTATGTTACAATTTATTCCAGTATCACCATCACTTTTCTACCCTCATGTGATTTTTTGTGACGCATCAACCTTATTTGCTTTTTTGTATAACATTTATCTTAGAAAAATTTTAATTGCAAAATTTTTCACTTCTTGCACTTTTAAAATATTAAAATTCTTGCTCTTAAAATTTATGTTTTAAATTTAATAAAAAAAATTATTTATTAAAAGTTAATAAAATAATAAAAATAATAAGATATACTTTATTGATAAAAATGATAAGTTCGTTTAATTTTTACTTGAAAATTTATATCTGCTTATTTATTAATAAAATAAAATATGTAACTCATAAAAATAAATATAAAAACTCACATCTTCTAACTCTCCTAATAGATATAATAAAACAAGTATGATAAATAATCTAAATAAATATATAAATATGCATTGCCTAAAGAGATTTAAAAAATGTAAAGTATAATTATAACTTCATAAATATGTAAAATAATTCAATAAAAATAATTATTTGAGTAATACTATACTTGTTAAGCAATTTTATTTAGCTTTCAAAGAATGACCAAATTACTAAAATTATGCTCTAACCTTTATATAAAAAAGATAAATAAAAAAAATAAAAAACAGTTAATATAGTAGTTAAAAATAAATTAACAATAAATTTTATACTTAAATAATTACTTAAACTTGATATTTACAGCTTTTTATAAACTTTTTGTTTGACATTAAAGAAAGAAAAAAGAAGAAGAAAGAGTTACAAAAGTTATAAAGTCACTATTGTTAAATGTAAATAAATAAATAAATAAGGCTGATGTGACATAAAATCACGTGGGGTAAAAAAGTGATAACTACCAGCTATTCTTAACCTGATCCACCAGTCCAGATGCTTATTCTAAGCCAGTCAACTTTTGATTGGCTAATCAGCACTTTTATTACATAACTCTGATATAATTTATTTTACCTTTTACTCTTCCTATCTTTCACTCTTTTTCTATTCTTTTTTGTAGTATGTTAGTACTTAGATTTCATATTTCATTTCAGTTTGTATATTTTAATTTTAATTGTATTTATTGTAGTTTTATGATAATACTAAATGTTTTTTTTTTTTTTTTTGAAGAGTTTTATGATATATTGATATTATTCTGGAAATCAAGTGTTTTTTTTTTAAGTTTTGGGGTTAAGCAAAGTTGTTCAAAAAAGGTTGTAAATTACACATTTATAACAAAACTTTTAAAGCTAATATAATACTATTAC